GTAAACAGGAATTACTTATTTACATTATCATTTATAATAATATTTGCATACAAAATACAGTACAGTATTCTAAGAATATTCTTATACTATAAGAATATTACTTTTCTATAGCTTTAGGGTTTAATTTTGTCTGTATCACTAATAATGCTTTTGTCCATTTAACAAATCACTACATTTTATTGGATTCACAAGCATTAGTTCAAAGCAGACATAACTGGAGTATTCATTATTAAATGAATGCCGACTTCACACAAATGAATGGCTCTATTCTGGGAAACTGTATGTTTGTGTGCCTTCACGAGTCCATTGATGATCCCATTACTATTAATGAAAACATTTACTAAAAATTAATATATTGAAGAATTTAATAATCCCATAAATTATAGCCACGTAAAACTAACTTATACTGGTGGCTTTTTATAATGCATAACAAGTACTGAATAACAAAATAAAAGTAATTTCCTTTCAATTCTTATATCCATTTAGATGTAAAAGAAAGTTATGACAATATATACCATTCTCCACACGTGTTCATTATATTAGCCATTATTTGAAAAGAAAAAAATCAAATTGAAAATTAATACCATTTATCATTCTTATTGCATTTGAATGCAAACCATATATTATGCTCACGTTTTGAACTAAAAATTTAAGATCAAAATTCAACCATATTGAGTTTAGCTTATTGAGTATGTGTGATCTAAGTATTTATTATGGTATTTTAATTTTTTGATTTTATTTTTGTTTAATAAACAATTCGTGCACTACATTACAGTATAATAAAAATATTTAATGAATATCACAATATTGTAAAATATAATTTTTAATCAATAGTAAACCTCCGCTTATGCTTGACGTTTTACGTGACATTTTATAAGATTTAAACTTATTAATAATATTTGTTTTTTAAAGTACAGTACAGTATTTATAAACTCCAATAAAAAATAACTATATTGAGTTATGAATAGACAGTTTGTTAGGGTCTTAGTCTAAATCAGTGAATGGTTTTGTTAGGAGTCTTATGGAAGTATTAAATTGGATGTAATTTAATGTCAAAATTAATACAATTCTGTATATATATGTGTGTGAAATAGGCTGTTCAAGTCACTTATCCATTATTCTTTTGAATGTGATATTGAGTGCAATTATTAGCAAACACAGAGCATATGAGATGATTACATATGAATGTCTTACAAAATTGTCGACAATCCTATCAATTGTTAATAAACTACTTAAAAGCAATATATTTGTATTCCCAATATAAGCTTAGTTCTTAGTTTATACACTAGATTTTGATAAGATATCAATGTGTTTTATATCACTAAATTCAATTTTAATTGATAATATTCACAATAATTGTAAATTTTTTAAGCATACAATTAATTGAAATGTATTCATTATCCTAGGAAAATGAATCAGTACTTCAAATGAAGTATATATATTAATATTATAACTCTGATGATTTATCAAATGAGATGCTAATTTTATTAATCATATAAAGTAACTTTTTAACTTTCACTTATACTTTTTTTTAATATCTTAATATTAAATATTTTTCTGTTATCAAAATATGCTAATTCTGGGATCATTTTGGGATGTATTAAAATATTTTACCAGTATATATTATACAGTACACTGTAATATACAGTATAAATAAAGTACCAGTATTATACGTTAGATTTGTTAACGTCCCTTTGTCTAAAGTGTACAAACTTCTAAATACACTCAATTTACTCATATTTAATTTAATTGAAACATTTTAGCATTATAAACAGTACCGGTACAATCGTAAATGCTTTATATTATTCTCTCACTTTGTTATTTACATTTTGTTGTGAGTGCCTAAGAATGATATACAGAATATTCTATCATTAATGTAGTACTGAATACAATTTTAAATGTTTATAGGAAAAAATCAAACAGGATGTCGATAAAGTATAATTTAATATGAATTTTTATTTTTATTTTAAGACATATTTAGTACATTTATTATAGAATATTAAATTTAAACATATTTTTCAGCATTTTATGCTCAAAATGTTAAGTTTCATAAATCAATAATTTATCAAATTTATAAATATATTATTGATTGGAATAATATCTGTTTAAAATTTAAGCATAGAATTAAATTTACAATATTATATATCAATATAGTATTTAATCCGATAATTGATTTATTATTGATTTATTTAAATAATGAGAATCATAATAATTCATGAAGGTTTTGCGTACTGAATAAGTTATATAGTAATAGTCACTTTTATATCATATTAATTCGTAATGAATTATAAATGATCATGATATTTATTGTAGTTTTATGTCAAATATAATCCAGGTTCACACCAAACTTCTCATTTGAAAACTGCCTTTATTTTCGTCCCCATTCGGCGTATTACTGGACTCTCTCCTAATAAGCCGAGAGCTGTGTCGGAAAGACATGTACTGAGTGTTTGGAGAGGTGTTGGCGTTGTTGGCACTCTCTGTGATGCGATCGCACCGGCAGAACACGAACCGAAAGAAGTTTCGGATGCTTTCACGAAAGTAGGAGTTCCTCGCGCTGTATATGAATGGGTTATAGCACACGGAGCTCATGGAGAACCAGTGGAAGCCTATCAGTATTATGAAGTTATGCTGATAGCTGTCGGGCATGAAGTCGGCCAATAGGTGGTACAGATTCAATGGGAGCCAACACACGGCAAACACCACCAAAACAAGGATTAACATTTTGATGGTCTTCCGGTTGGACCTAAAAATAAATCACAAAAATCTTAACTATTTGTTTGTTAGGTTATAAATTATAATAATTAGGTTATAAGGTAATATAAGTGTTATAATTATTAATATCAAATATATATCAATTAGAAGATAATATTAAATAATAAAAGAATTGTTAATCATTTTCGTAAAACTGATTTATTTGATAGCTGTATTCACAAATAAGTAGCAAAGTATAGTCAACAATTCAATTTAATATAACTGTTATTTAATATAATTATAATTATATAATCATATTAAATAACAGTTATATTAAATTGAATTGTTGACTATGATTTGCTACTTATTTGACTTTCTATAAAACAGAACTATCTCTGAATACAATATTTGATTATGAACTATAGGTAATTGTATTAATCCTATAAATGCATGCTAGATGATTTAAGTTTATGCATTCAGAGATACAGTAGTTCTCTTTTACAGAAAGCCTATCTATAGTTACTAGATTACAGTTTATCAAATTAATTTTTATAAAATATAAATTTAATAAAGTAGATCTTAGAAATTTATTATAAAACATACAGTGCGTATGTACTTTGTGCACGCCGCCTAATTGCTTTGAATTTCTATTTCAAAAAACTTTGCTTAAATAGAAAAATATTTTCCATAATCTGTTCAATAAATATCCAGTTTATACATTTAATTAAAAAACAAAATAATTGACATTAATATGGATTCTTGCCTCAAATTATTAGCGATTTGTTGTGGCGTAGAGTTGCCGACAATAACTCTGCGGTGAATATGAAGAGCTATTTTACAGTAAGAAAACGTTGCGATCGATAGTGGGATCACGTATTGCGAGACGAATGTCAAGATCGTCAGCCACTGTCTGTAGACATACTGGGGCTCCGGGAACATGAGTCGGCACCGGATTAGCGATCGGTACGTGTAGTAAGTGACCACTTCGTTGAAGTATCCGTGAGGTAGGGATAGTAGTGAGGAAAGGATCCAAATCATGGGAATCACAAACTTAAGGGGAAGTACATGACTTAGACGGCGACCGAACGGGTAGATTATTGCCTGATGTCTGTCCAAACTTATGACACACATCGTTAACGTCGAGGCATATCTGTTACGGACAGACAGTTAAATGAATACTATCTGTATAATCATTACTATTAAAAATAGATAATTAAGAATAATACAGAAACATATAATACAAATGAAAGTGTATATTAAAATAATTCTATAGTAAAATAATATTATAAAATCTATATTAACTTTAAAAACATTTTAATCATAAGTTTATGCCATTACAAACTGAATATTAGCTAATTTGTAACGTATATTTATAATTATATAATTATACAGTATAACGTAACGTAATGCTAATTAAAATATTTAGGGACCAAATGTCATATAATATTTTAATTTTATTTAATTAAATTTAATTTTATCCAGTATATTTATAATTAATATTACATGGTATTTTATTTAGTTATTCCAAATTATTATTCTAATTTGTTTTTATTTGACAAACAATAACTTTATATTATTTTTAAATTTAATTATTAAATAAATTTTATTATGTTATGACCAGAAATAAAAAATATAATTGTTTACATCTGTTTCGTCATAATTACTACATAAACATTGTATTAAAAGTTTAATCATTTCAGAGCATTTTGTATTAGATGAATTATATTTTTGTTAAAATACATTTTTACTAAAAATGTGTTTAAAATATAAAAATATTTTAAATCTAATAAGAGTTTTAAATTACTTTTTAACTTTTATTTAAAATGTGCATTTTTACTTTTTACGATAGAAAAATTAATTTATTTAATAAAATAAAAACTAAAATATTTTATGTAAATTTCTAACCATAGTATATTAAATTTTTTCGATACAGAAAACGGAATTAAATAAAACTTCTAAAAGTACTTATTTTATGATACATTAAAACTTTATTAAACATCTAATATGAAGCTTAGAAGGTTATACAAAATATTAATTATATTTTATAATTAAAATTGTTAAAGAATTTCAGCAAGTTTTTATAATAATTCTTTTAATAATTATAATAAAACTAAATTTACTAAATTTAAAAAAATTATTAAAAACATCACATAAAATAACCATCAAATAAATGTAATTAAATTTTAATTATAATAAATACAAGCATAAAAATAGTAAATTTATATTAAAAGCCAGTTTCGATAAAAATATGTTAAAACCTATGAAAATCACACTTACACTGAGCAGACCTGGATGAATGGCACAAACTGACACATTAAATCACCAAATGGCCAGTTATCCAAAATAATCCTGGCCGTACTGAACGGTATGTTAATTAATGTCATTAAAAGGTCGGCAAACGTGAGATTTGCGATATAAAAGTTGGTGACTGTCCTCATCCGACGCTTACTGAATATGATGTATATGACGAGTGAATTGCCTAACAATGAGATCACAAATATGAGGGAATATAATGTAATGATTGACACATTTTTCCAGTAGTTTTTCTCATAGAGTTCCTCCTCTAGGTTTGGGTTCATTTCCAACAACTTCTCCCAGAATTGTGTTTCAAAATACATATCAATCCCAGTGTGGTTATTAGCAGTTTTATTCATGGTTACTAGTATATATCAAGTTCACTTTTCTTTTACACTATTATTACTCTATTTGAATATATTTAGGGAGTATTTTAAATATTACAAAAATATATCAAATATGAAACAATTGATAATTTTAAAAATATTGTATGAAGTATTTAATAATTACTGCAGTTTTACTGAACAAAATATTTCTTAACTATTGTAGTCTAAGAAAATCTTTCAATAATTTTAACATTTAAGAAAAATAATGAGCAAATAATAGTCACAAAAACAGCTATACCTCCGAAATTGTGAACTAAATGATGG